ACTGTTAATGATGAGTAATCCAACTACATTTTGTTCCTCACAGCGTCTCCATCCGGCTGCCCAGCACCAGCGGCGGCGACGGTACCATGTTCAGGTCGGTACCCGAGTGGCTGGAATCCATCAAAATGAGCCAGTACAAGGAAAGCTTCGCTCGCGCTGGGATAACGACCATGGAGCAGGTGCTCGCTTTGAGACATGAGTAAGTGCACACATGGCACAGGTGCAGCCTCCGTCATGCTGTACTAACTTATCCGGCACCGTTGCACATTTTTTCAGTGACACAGAGAAAGTGTCCGACTGTCAGCCTGAACATTTGTTAACCAGCGTGCGAATGCATGAGCACTCTGCTCCCCCTCTGCCACTCATGTCATTCCACTCATTCTCTGCTGCTGTTACTTCTGCATGAGTGGCTCACAGGCATTTTTTTTCTGAAATATGCCCCATAGCCCTGTCAGATAAACCCAAGTAACCATTTAATGACAACATCGCTTTAAACAAACCATTTTAAGCCCATTTGAAATGATAAACAATAATGGTTTGGTTCATTTGTACATATTTTTTTGTGTAGGTACAACTTTTATATTACCCTTAAGCCACTTATATAAACTGTCTTTGCCTTTTAAAGGAGTTAAAACACCCTGAAAATGTGTTCACATACACCACCGCTCTGCTGTTTTTTTTTTTTTGTTTTTGTTTTGTTTTTTGTCGTTTCAATCCTGTGTTCACGAGATACTTATGTGTCATTTTCAGAGACATCAGGAACATCGGAGTGAGGCTGCCTGGTCACATGAAACGGATAGCATACAGCATCCTGGGCCTGAAAGACGAGACGAGCTCCCTCAGCGTGTTCGCCGTGTGATCTAAGCATTCCTTCAAATCAAAGTGCACTGACCGACCATGCCATTTCACTCACGGAAGACAAGGACTGAAGTGGAGGGGCTGGAACTGAGCTACACTACAGCAGTGTGGTATGACTGAAAGGGACCCTCAGAGAGGACTCAAAATGAGACCATTCATGTACTTAATAAGAGAAAAGTAATTTATCTTTATATAAAAGTGTTTATAATGTCGAACATAAGCAAGTTATGCAATGCAGTAAATAAAATGATATAAATGAGGGTCAAATGTGGGATAATGTGAGAATGCTCGGCCCTGCATTTCCTGAAAGACTGAAATATCTAAGGCTCTTCAATGATAAAGAGCGACTTCTTAGAAGCACTCAGCATCCTGCCGGTGATTCTGAATCCTTAAATTTGTTTTGTTTACTTCTTGTGATCAGTGAGACTTTCTTTTAAATTAGGAATTGTTATTCCTCTCAGGGCAAAGAATCACATTCTTATGGTTTGTTTTTTTTAGTTAGTCTCTGTGTCACACCACGCATCTCTTTGTTTTATTTACATTACGTCTTAATACAAATGTTCATTTTTTTATTTATTATTTATTTTGTATTTATGTCAATTGTTACATGATAGATAACTCTCATCTTGTGCACAGGTGGTGTATTTCGTGTTTAAATAAAATCAGAGTTGCCTTGTAACTGTATCGCTTTCTTGTATTGGGCAGCAGTGAACATGTGTTTTTAGACTCATGGCTGTAGTGATGGCAAGTGTGACAGTCCGCTAAAATAGCTCAACACCAAGCTGGATGGATTGGCATGAAAGCTGATTCAAACGACTGTGGTCCCCTGGCAATGAATCACCTGCTGCTTTTTTTTTTTTTTTTTTTTTTTTTTTTTTTTTTTTTAAAGCAACACAAGCAGGTTGACATTTGTGGGTCAGACAGACGGTTTCAATAACTTCCGGATGGATGACCATGCACATAGTCTTCCTAAACTTTGATCATCAGCTGAACTTTCAACTAGTGCTATCATTAAGTAAAACAAAAAAAGCTCTCCATCAGCCTCAGCTGTACTACTTTGTAGTTACAAGAAAATATTAAATTACATTAATACATAACACCTAAAAGTAAAAGGCCATGTTTTTAAAAACATAAGAACATACAAACTCTGCAAAAAGAGGTCCCAGTTGGCCAAAAGATTCAAACCCAGAACCTTCTTGCTGTGTGGGGCGGCACTAACCATTGCACCACCATGTCGTCCATATAATAGTGCCTCTCTCTTCAAAGTATGCAGAAATTTTCTTTGAACTTGAGCGTTGTCTCCATTGCAATGATCTTTCCATACTATCCCAATCTCCACGTGTTGTGATCATCTGTTTCTGGAAACCTGAAGCTCAATCAAAATCTATCCTAATCTGCTGTCTGTTCAATCTAAGATGTATTCACTGCTACAGATGTGCTTACATTAAACACACTTCATATTTAAGGCCTGCTACGATGTAGGGTTTGAAGTTGGATGGTGGCTCTGACATGCAGGCAGATGAGCTGCTGTGATGACCCTTAAAGGGAGCAGCCAAAAGAAGATACTTCATACTTGTTCATATTTGTCTTATTCCATTAGCTCTGCAACAACAGAGAGTGTGAATCAAACCTTCAGTCTCCTTTTCAAAAGGTAAAAGCATCATCATTATGCATTGCAGCTAATAGTTGCTCTGTTTCTAGACTACACTCAGTAATAGCATGTCACACAAGTGTGCTACACAAAAACTGAGGGCATGGTGTGATGGACCCGCACACAAGAATTTCACTCACATGTACTGTACCAGTGTACCTGCACATGTGATGTGACAATAAAAGTGATTTGATTTATTCAGTTTTTGCAGTGCTTTAACAATCCAACACCATAATTTCTTCACTATATTATGGAAATCATACTAAAAAAACCAAGAAAAGTAAAAGATAGTGGCTTACAAATTACAATGTCTTATTAAATAGTGTTGGGGACAGGTTGAGTTGTCCTAGTTCTTAATTATTTCAGAGCAGAGCGGTGCACAGGCACACATATTCAGACCAGGCTCTTAGGCCTATCTAAAGGCCTAAGGCTCAGTGGCCTTACTTACTTTAGCAAATGCACATGCCCCTCTAAAAGGCTTTACACAGGGTAACATCCCAACATGGACCCAACATGATATGAACCCATAAATTTGTTGATGATCAAACCAGCTTTTATCAGTGTGTTTTGCTTTTCATTCGCCGGTACAGCCTCACAGAGCTTGTTTTGCCGTGTTTGTCATGCAGATGGAATTGATAAGGCTTCGTTACTTTGGCAAGGTGGGCCAAAATGTCACACTTACTCATGAGTGTGCTCCTTCATACCCACAGCTGTGATTAATCACCCCTCTGCTCAGTTTAACTGGAAACTCATTGACACTGGGTCTTTTGTGTCAAATCCCCCTTACACATCCTTAAAATGAGCACAGTTAAATTATAAATTATGAAAGATAACGTGACCTTTGTGGCTTAAAGTTAAGACTGGCAGCTCACACAATGATAATTATTATAATTATAGTATATTGCTTCACACAGAAACATCTCCGCACCCCTTTCTCACACATAGACACAAAGACTCACATGGACCCCAGTCATGGGTGCGGCTAAAAATGTCAGACCCCCTTGACAACAGTTCAACAACAGTTCTGACACATTAAATATCTACAATCAGTGTCATGTTCCAGTCCAGCTGGATCATTAAGGGACCAAGCCACAGCCACACCCGGTGGTACACACAATTTCCCAGTAGCCTATAAAAGACTCAGTGCATGATGGTAAAGGTTTTAAGACAGACAAAGGAGAATTTACTATGGAGAAAAATGGGAGAAATTTATCTGAGGATTCAGGATTGCTAAATCAGCACAGCACCAGAGAACACAAATTTACAGGTCAGCTGGACAAAAACAGACACAGATATACTTTAATATATATATATATATATATATATATATTTATATTTATATTTATTTATAGCACTGCAGGGAACATATTAGCTAAAGAAAAAACTAAATCAATATGTATCAAAATGTTGTGGATTTTATTTTAAAATCTCTATTATACAAATGACTATTTCAGATCATTTACAGCCTACAGGAAAGGTGCAGATCACTGGAGACATTTTTCAGTTCACTCTTGATGTGAGTGAATTTTCTCCAGAGGATGTCATCATTACATCCTCCAACAACCTAATAGAGGTGCATGCAGAGAAGGTGAACCCTGCAGTCAGGCTGGTGTAAAATCAGATGTTATCTGTGACAGTAACTTAACTGATGGCCTGAGTTATATTATTAAGTTATATTATTCATTTATTTAAATGAAATTAAAGCAATGCACTGGCTTTAGTTGTTTGATTGTGTGTTAAATTTTAGAACTATTTGTCTTCTTTTGTTGTGAAACAATACACTTTTGATTCAGGACCTGAAATTTGGATTTATATCTTTTGCTGTCTCTATGGTGTTTTCTTTGAATTTGATGGCTTGATGGTTTCATTGATGGTTTAACTTTCTGCTTTGTTCTGTTCTCATAACCTGTTTTTGCCGTGCAGCTGGGTGAAGATGGAACAGTCACAAATACTTTTTCCCACCAGTGCAAACTGCCATCTGATGTGGACCCCATATCTTTGAGCATGTCCATGGCGAGCGGTGGGCTCCTGACTGTCAGGGCTCACAGAGTGTGTTAGTGTATAATTTCTGTGCATTTCAATTAAAACACATCAAGCCTCGTTTTATTTGAACTGTCTTCTTTGCTCCGTTGTATTTTGCCTGCTGTAACCTCAACATTAAGTGACTTACAAATAGAGTTCGATGGAGTTTAGCGACCTCAAGTGTCCGGGGGAAGGACTGGGGGAAAGTTTTTTTTAGAATGTAACATTTATTTTCAAATGGGAAGGAAATATACTGAAACATATAGTTGTTGAAATAAATGCAAATAAGAGTAAGTAACCTTTATCATATTAAAAAATATCAACTGTAAAATATCCAACAAAAAACTACGTTGAATTATTTCATCTACAACGGAATAAAGCAAATAAAAGTAGTAAAGAGTATTTACGGGTAAACCTGAAGGCAACACCACAATTTGAGGGAAGTGACGACATAGGTTGTCAAGGGACGCTTTAGTTTACGGAAGTTTTTACATTTTGCGGACAGCGGTTGTTATAATTTATATTTAGGGGTTTTTGTGATTGATGTGGATGCTTTAAATGTTTTATTACTGCAGTTCAAGTCTGTAACAAGACAACGTTTAAAAAAAATATCCTCTGGCCCAGACGGGAACCGACTTTTGGCCTTTTTAAGCGACAAACCCGAGCTCTGTGTGATGCTGTAGCTTTGTAACCGACATGGCAAAGGTTCCTCCCCCAGGATCAGTCGTAGTCGCAGACTGGCATCGATATAAAGACAGTAAAGAGTATTTCAGCAAAATCCTCCACAAGAAGAGACGGAGAAACTTTGGTAATGTCAGCTAAATAGATATGTTTCCAAATTACAACAGTTTTGTCTTTTTTTCTCCCCCAGGGGACCTTACGCACTCATATGTAAAGAAAAAAAAAGTATAAGTATTCAGAAATACCGCAAATTCTTCTTGCAGCTGATTTATTGCGACTGAGACTACTTGAAGTGCAGCCACTCATCAGACAAATGCAAAAACGTTTGTAGGCAGTATCTGTGTTTCACTGGAAATCAGCTATAAAAGTAGCTAGCGAATAAATGTGCATTTATTTCAAACCTCAACATAAGGGTTTTTATGAAGTACAAACTCCCCATTTGTTGTTGTTTGTGGAGGATAAAAACCCAGAATAATTTATAAATAGATTAAAGCAACCCACGAGGCTGTAAAATATTGGATTAAAACATATTGGGGACTATATTTTTAGCTGCACCATTTCTCGGTGAACAATCAGCTGCGGCAAATTGGCGGTTTTATTCATACATTGCTAAGTAGGCACCAGTGTGACAGAGTGAAATATGAACCATGGACAGTATGGGTACCTATGAGGACAGAGACAGCCACAAGCCTTAAGGTGGGACTGGGATCACATCAGGGAAAGTCTCTGGGCCCCTTCCTGTTTGCAGTTGTGATGGACAGACGGAGTCTCTGTGGATTATGATGTTTGCAGATTACAAGATACACTTGGGGTGTGCTGAGAAGACATGGCAGCATTTTAAATCATGGATTTATGACACGCAAGGAGATAAACAAGGGAGAGAATGATGCCATAGTGGCATCTTTAGTTTAGTTTACTAAGATCTCCATTAGCTGCAGCATTGCTATTCTTCCTGGGGTCACTTGTGATAGAAATGCCAAAATCTGGCCACACGTAGCACAAGTAGTCGGGGACATGCTCCACCCTTTGGTTTGAAAGTTCTTCTTGATGTCCAGAGATGACCAAAAGTGCTGGACTTTCCTCCACGGTCACTCACTGGATGTTAATGGGGTGCTTTTAAAGACAAATTCTATTAACCCTATATCATATTCTATTATCTTGACTCAGGTGTGCAATTTCTTTCAGTGGTCCTTTTAAAATGTGTTTTTCAGGCCTTTTGGAGTCTCCAGTGATGCCTCCACATGTAGCTGTGGACACAGTTCATTATAAGATCTTCATCTCTGGTAAGAGCGGAGTTGGGAAAACTGCTATTGCTGCACGTCTTGCAGGCATGAATATTCCCAGCATGCACCATGAAACCACAGGTAAGCCATTCAAACTGCTGGTGTAAAAACACAGATTTTTAGCTAGATTACGTAGAACTAAGTGTGAGCCTTTTTTTAAAAAAGTAGTTTACAAAGTTTCAAAAAGTTAAGAGGCTGACAATGTCACTAATATTCTTTGTCATCTTTTGTTGCTTAAGGCATTGAGACAACAGTGGTGTATTGGCCAGTGAAGCTAAAAGAAAGCAGCAGAGTGCTTTTCTTCCGTTTTCAGCTGTGGGACTGTGGAGAGAACGCCTTACGCAGATTTGACCATTTGCTTCCAGTATGAATGAGATAAAGCAAAGACTAAAACAATTATTCTAGATGTGGAAAACAAACAGATTTCTGTGTTTTGTCTGATCTCCTTTCTCTCTTCCAGTCCTGCAAGGAGCAAGTGGATGCGGTCCTCTTACTATTCTCCTTCACAGACAGGACATCATTTGATGATCTGCCAAATCAGCTCGCCAAATGGTCCGAGCCATCTGTCAGGCGTGTTGTGAAAATTGTGGTTGGCACCAAGTATCCTTTTATCTTCCTTACAAATAGTTGGAAATGCCAATCAGAAGTAATCATCCACTTTTCTATGGGATCATCTGTGGTTCTACAAGACCAGGAGGCACAACTTTGAAGTGCCAAAACCCCCCCAAAAAAACTAAGATGAGTCTGTGGCACAAACACACTCTTTACATAAACATATCCTTAATTAATGTTTCCTTCAGATTCGACCTTTTCATGCACTGTGATGTGGCAGAGAGAGATATAAGGGACTTCCAGGAGACATGGGGTATCCCGGTACTGCGTACAGGCGGGGAGGTCACAGACGGGCTGGGCGACGTAGCCTCGCTCCTCAACTGCCTTGCAGAAAACCTGTGGCATCAGGACTGCGTTACAGCTGGCTCAGCCAGCCACCATTCACAGGAGACAGTGACTCTGCTTTAAAAATGAACATTGTTTTAAACAGCCTGGACTGAACCAGAGATGAGGGTGCTCACCTCTGAATGGGGCTCATGTTGAGATGATGATACTACATTACTTGGCTCCAAATTATGTATTCTAAACCCCCCCCCCCCCAAAAAAAACCAGTAATACTTAATAAAAAATAAAGTCCAATACTAAAAAAAACTGAAAAGAAAGTTTTGGATTATTAATATCACCTCAAAACATCTTTTGGTGACAGGATATACAGGGAGTGCAGAATTATTAGGCAAATGAGTATTTTGTCCACATCATCCTCTTCATGCATGTTGTCTTACTCCAAGCTGTATAGGCTCGAAAGCCTACTACCAATTAAGCATATTAGGTGATGTGCATCTCTGTAATGAGAAGGGGTGTGGTCTAATGACATCAACACCCTATATCAGGTGTGCATAATTATTAGGCAATGTCCTTTCCTTTGGCAAAATGGGTCAAAAGAAGGACTTGACAGGCTCAGAAAAGTCAAAAATAGTGAGATATCTTGCAGAGGGATGCAGCAGTCTCAAAATTGCAAAGCTTCTGAAGCTTGATCATCGAACAATCAAGCGTTTCATTCAAAATAGTCAACAGGGTCGCAAGAAGCGTGTGGAAAAACCAAGGCGCAAAATAACTGCCCATGAACTGAGAAAAATCAAGCGTGCAGCTGCCAAGATGCCACTTGCCACCAGTTTGGCCATATTTCAGAGCTGCAACATCACTGGAGTGCCCAAAAGCACAAGGTGTGCAATACTCAGAGACATGGCCAAGGTAAGAAAGGCTGAAAGACGACCACCACTGAACAAGACACACAAGCTGAAACGTCAAGACTGGGCCAAGAAATATCTCAAGACTGGTTTTTCTAAGGTTTTATGGACTGATGAAATGAGAGTGAGTCTTGATGGGCCAGATGGATGGGCCCGTGGCTGGATTGGTAAAGGGCAGAGAGCTCCAGTCCGACTCAGACGCCAGCAAGGTGGAGGTGGAGTACTGGTTTGGGCTGGTATCATCAAAGATGAGCTTGTGGGGCCTTTTCGGGTTGAGGATGGAGTCAAGCTCAACTCCCAGTCCTACTGCCAGTTTCTGGAAGACACCTTCAAGCAGTGGTACAGGAAGAAGTCTGCATCCTTCAAGAAAAACATGATTTTCATGCAGGACAATGCTCCATCACACGCGTCCAAGTACTCCACAGCGTGGCTGGCAAGAAAGGGTATAAAAGAAGAAAAACTAATGACATGGCCTCCTTGTTCACCTGATCTGAACCCCATTGAGAACCTGTGGTCCATCATCAAATGTGAGATTTACAAGGAGGGAAAACAGTCCACCTCTCTGAACAGTGTCTGGGAGGCTGTGGTTGCTGCTGCACGTAATGTTGATGGTGAACAGATCAAAACACTGACAGAATCCATGGATGGCAGGCTTTTGAGTGTCCTTGCAAAGAAAGGTGGCTATATTGGTCGCTGATTTGATTTTGTTTTGTTTTTGAATGTCAGAAATGTATATTTGTGAATGTGGAGATGTTATATTGGTTTCACTGGTAAAAATAAATAATTGAAATGGGTATATATTTGTTTTTTGTTAAGTTGCCTAATAATTATGCACAGTAATAGTCACCTGCACACACAGATATCCCCCTAAAATAGCTAAAACTAAAAACTACTTCCAAAAACATTCAGCTTTGATATTAATGAGTTTTTTGGGTTCATTGAGAACATGGTTGTTGTTCAATAATAACATTATTCCTCAAAAATACAACTTGCCTAATAATTCTGCACTCCCTGTAAAATGCCACTATGGCATGGTGAGCATATTAAATATTTTGTCCGATTGTCATGTTATACACTTGTACTCCGGAAAGTGAATTAGAAATCATTTTATTATCAATTAAAGTAAACTGTACACTACTTAAAAATTAATTGGTATTTTAAAGTCAGTCAGAAACAACAAAAAACGTCTGTAGCGATGATCTAGCTCATCGTGAGGTTAGTGGACGTTTGAACAAAGCGCACCGAGTGCATCTTCACCAAGAACAGTGCAAAGCGTAGACTGAACCACTGATGAACCTTAAAAAGTGAACAAGTTAACATTGTTTCAGTTGTTAGTTACATGGAGCCAAGTTTCGTCTTTAAAGTTTAAAGCTGTTAAAAGGTCAGTGTCTCGATGACAGCGCCTTCATCCATGCCTCTTTCTCCGACCTGTAATTTAAAAGAAGGCCATCAGATGGTGAGGGGGACTCCAACAGTGGATGTAAGGACTTACAGATTTTATTAACTCTTGCCTTGTGTCTGTAGCAATTATCATTGCAGTCGGATGTCCTGTTTGAGTTTTAGAGAGATGTAGCAGGAAGGAGTATGAGGGCAGACCCAGGACTTCAGTCTTCACAGGCTGAACGCTCACGTGTTCTGGGAATTGAGCATGGTCCATTACTTTAAAGCGCTCATCTCTGAAAGGGATGAGGGGGGGAAAAGTAAGATTAGAAGCACATTTACAATGTGGATCATAAAGATCCTATTTTTTGTTGACTTGCAGCAGCTTGGACTGTACAGAGACTAAAAAGTTTGATTGCTAGGATTGCTAGTCAAATACTTTTTCATAGAGACGATCAAAAGGTCATTGAAGAGGTGGAGGTAGACGCCAACGAATGACATTCTTAAGTTATAAGCGCTCTCCTTGGTCAGCTGTTTCAGGGCTCCGTGGTGCACCAGGAAACGCTTGCTTGTGACCATGGGAACTGACTGGATGGATGAAGAAGACGCACTCTGTTACTGCTGCAGGTTAAAGAAGACCACTTTGTAGTCTATTAAAAACATTTGTGTCATCACCTTAACTTTTCCGAAATCCAGCAGCATTTCGAGGCAGACCAGCTCCTCAATCTGTTTCATTTTTCGGACCCCCTTGTCACACTCTGTCACTATCTGGGGTCAGAGTAGTGCAGTTGTAGAAGAATTAGGCAGATTTTTCACTTAAATAAAAAAAAGCTGTCAATACTGAAGTGCAGAAATTCTGTTGCAAGTAAAAATTGCATTCAGATTGGCAAGCATAACATTTTTATTTTTTTTTAAACAAGATCAAGTATAAAGTAGCAGAAAATGGAAAGTGAATCTTTTTCTCTCGCCTGTCTTGGCATGAGTGTACAGATCTGAAAAGCATTACCTCATGAATGGCGTCTATTGCTTTTTTAAGGTTTGAAACTGAGTCAGAGTCCGGCTCAGACAGTTTCAGGATGCTCTGAAATGAAAGAAAACAGAAACCTTAGCTAATGGAGCAAAAATCTGTTTAACAGTTCAAATCTCATCAGACGTTTACCTCCAGCAGAAGCTTGATGCGAGTAATTCTCTGGAAGGGAAGGACGAGGAAGGACTTGAGGGTCTTTCTTTGACACACCGGGTCACTCTCGAGTTTCTTCAGGGTATACAGAAAAATTCTGTTGTGCTGCCTTGAAAAGGGAACATTTAACAGAGTTTGCATCGCAAGGTGTTGAGAATGTATTTGTATTCTGAAATACAGAGTACACTTACAGCTTTTCGTTGATAAGGGCTTCTTGGTACATCATATTCGTCACATACGGCACATAGAGAGTCTGGAAATGTTTGCAGTGCTGGAGGACGACGTCGCCAACCTGAGGGATCAACACGTTCTCTCCCAGTCGGCTTTCCAAATCCGTAAGAAACCTAAAAAGACACCAGGAGCCCAACTAAGTTAAAACATCAGGACAACCTGCCCGTATATACAACAAGGTGCTACGTGTGGAGCTCTCACTTTTCACTGGCCACCATCACGTGTTGAATTTTGGAAAACAAAATGTGATGTTCTGTTTGAGACAGAGTCTGCTTGAGTTCCTGCGACTTATAAAAGTGATTTACGGCCACGCCGAGGCTCCTTAGGTAAGATGCTTCTGAGCCGATGAGCTCGAACATGGTCTTTAGAGGAAGAAAAGGAGGAGGTGGGGGGTTATTGGCAATCAAACAAAATTTAGACTGCTTTATCTCCAACGAAGGTAATAGTGTTTCAAAATACCAACCATGTCAACAAATTCCATAAAAACCTGGAAGAGCAGCTCCTGTTGCCATACAATTAAATCCTGATGTCAGCACAATATTTTTTAAGCACTCAAATGAACTGAAAGGAATTACCTAAAAATCCAAAATATACCTATAAAAGGACTTCTTTTTGCAGTTCCCCTTATTTTAATTTCCTGGTAATAGTTCTTAACCATTGCTGTGGATTAATTGAGCTCACTCTGGTTTTCCAGTTTGAGCGGCCTGTTTAAGGTCACTGCAAAGCATCTCAATCTGATTTAAACCCAGACTTTGACTACGCCGATTCAAACCTTTATTTGATGCTTCTTTCTTTCTGGACATGAACTGATGGCTGGACATTCTCCTTCAGGATTTTCTGGAAGTCTTTAGAATTCATGAAGATTTTGGAATTATTCCAGAAGATACCTGAATTAAAAAGTTCAGTTCAGTTCAGGATCAAAATGTTTTTGGCAAATGTGAGATGAGCCTTTGTGTTTTCTTGGGGGTCCGCAGTGTTTTTGTTTTGCCTTGGAATTCTTTCATGGATGTCATTTTTGCCCAGTCTTTCTTAATGCTGAATCATGAACACTGACCTTTAAGGAGACAATTGAAACCTGCAGTTCTTTAGATGTTATGGGTTCTTTTGTGGCCTCTTAGAGGAGTTGAAGCGCTCGGAGTAATTTTGGAAGGTTGACCACTTCTGGTAGGTTCACCACTGCTCCAAGTTTTTACCATATATGGATATTGGCTCACTCTGTGATTTGCTGGAGTCCCAAAGCCCTTAGAAGTGGCTTTGTAATCCATTCCAGATGTCGGTTTTTTTAGTTTGTGGCCTGACATGCTGCTTTTTGACATCTTTCATCTTATTTCACTATAAATCAGTTTTTAAGTAATTTCTTGATTTATCAGGTCTGGCAGTGATAGACTCTAAGATGTGGCTAGTGAAACTGAATTAAGGTTTCCACAAAAAAAGGGTGGTGAACACAATTCACGATTTCCCAAATGGAATTACTTAATTACTTTTTTACAGGACTCTACATTTGCAGTCAAACATACGCTATACAGGTAAAGACTGAAATGTTGCGATCGAACAAACTTGATGCAGGCATATCTAACTTCATTAAAGATCCTAAGAGCAATATGAACACTTGTGCTCTGCTTCATGAGTGTGATTATAATGTGCCTTCCAGTTTAGTTAAATTGCATGCATCATCTCTAATACATGAAACAGCTTTTTGTTTTTTACATTTTTGCACACCTCTTGAAGGCGAATCTCTCTGGCTGTCAAGCTGCTGAGTAGACCAGATGCCTTCACCTCATCCAGGTCTTGCCAGAGTGTACTTGGAGTCACCCTAATAGGCTGAGATCGAGGAGTTGCATGACGAGCGCTTCGCTGAGGGCTTTCAGCACGAGTCATCGGTGTCTGCAGGCTTTGCAGATACTTGGGAGTTATCAGTTCAGACAACAGACCGTCTTTGAGTCTGTGGAGATCATCTTTCATTGTCTGCAGACAGTAATCCTGATACAGTGGGACTGCAGAGCAGAATGAGAAAGACAAAAACAGCTTTACAAAAATTACGCTTTAAAATTTAAATGTGATGATGATGATACCTTAAGAAGAAGGTTAAACTTACAAATATGAATGTACTTCGACTGGAATCGTTCACTCTGCAATTCCTCCCCAATCACATTCTCTTCTCTGGATTTATTAAGAAGGCCACATGCAGTTAGCTATAAAATATTTTTGCCAAAGTTAAGAGATCCCCACCTCATCTTACCCTTCTTTGCTTTTATCCGGATCACATTGTGCGGACGAGCTTGAGTTATCTTCCTGAAGTCCAGGTGGCAAGAAGATTTTCAATTTGTGCGCTGCCAAATGATTTTTTTTCAAATCCCATGTGCGCCTTAAAGCCACCAATCTGAGAGCTGGAGATATGTCTAAGGGAAAACTGTGACAGGATAAAAGATTTTATAGTTCTGGATAAAAAGGCTCACCTGTTTTGTACTCATTTTAGATTAAAGAAAATCTCATATGTGGGGCCAGTTCCCCCATTGCATCAATTTGACTTAAAATGATGAAAACTTTAAAAATTTGAACAGGAAACTCATGACTCAATACTTCACTACATTTGCATTTACTGCATTTGAAATTGAGATGCATTTAGTCATAATGAAGCAGTTTATAAGTTTTTTAAAAACCATTGGCATCTTTCAGGGGCTGAGGTCCTTACCTGCAATTCTCAGGCTTGTTTAAAGACCCGCTGCCTCTATCAAGGCCTCCAGTGTGCTCTGCCCTGCTGTTTTCCAGAGAAAAGCCCTGACAGAGCATCTCTCTCCCCTCTGTGGTTGGTGACTGAGACATTAATTACTCAGTAGATGACTTCTAAACTAGTGTATGTTTGTAATGGTTTTTCTCACTGTGGGTGTCAGCTGTAGTCTGGAACTGATCTTTTACTATACCCTTTCCAAAGTGGATTTGGGTGGATCCTTCCTGTGTCCCACAGCCAATCAGACTACACAGTTTGAGTTACCTGCAGTCTGAGCGTTTAGCAGCAATCAAAAAACAAACTAGAAGCAGGTGTGTTTCTTTACATGCTCCTTCAGGGTTTTACAACTATGGAGGCTTGTTTCTGCCACAATTAAAAACAAAACAAAACAAAACAAAAAAACAACACAGCTGTAAGTCAAAGTTTGAGGTTATTATCTCAAAATTTTAATGTAACTCAAAGTGTCACATTATTTTCTTAGAAGTCTGAGTTAGCAGGTTAAACTTATGGATGTCAAAAGATCTTTTTTTTTTTTTTTCTTTTTCCCAGTGGTGCCACCAAGCTTCCATACACAAGAGCAGTGGGCTATTTTTTTCACCTTTTAGATTAGTCCAACTCATGGCAACATCATTATTTTGATACCACATATCCTTTAAGATGTCCTTTAAGATGTCCATTTAAAAAAAAGGTTTTTTTAAGATTATGGAAAATACTTTTTAAAAGCAAGATATGGAAACTCTTACTTTCTATACTTGGCATGTGTTTGAAAAAAATGACTTAAAAACTCACACACGTCTTTACAAATACTAGTTTCATTTTATTTGCAATTTAAAATTCCATACAAGATAAAAGTAAATAATTCAATCTGCCTGAACATTGTGGATAATGTACATGACTCAAATAAAGCCATTAAAAGTCCCGATAGATGACATACTGATGAAACATCTGACATTTATTTATTTTTTTAAAAACTGATTATAAAATAAAATATGGATGTTTGAACACATGATCACACACTACGAAGAACTTACACAAAATAAAAGACTTCCTGAACGGGAGCTACAAACAGAGTTGTAATCTAGACATGGCAAAGCGCTGAAAAAAGTGGATACATACAGTACAAGATACCTTCGGTAAATAACATACTGAATCAATCAATCCCATTTATGATCGTACTTCGGCGAACCCACTCGTTATTTTATAGTGATGATAACATTGACATGTTGGGTTTCCCTTGTCAATGGAAATTGTAAACTTGATCAAAAATGATCAACCCTCCTTAACTGCAAAAGTTCTTCCAACATTGGGTTGTTGCATTAGGTTTTATTCAAAAAAGGAAAAAAAATCATTAAAATATCCACATTTGTGCTGAACAATCTCAAGCTCACCAAACAAAAGTTACTGTGGTATGAGTAACAGGTAATGCTACTCCACTCTGAGATTGTTTTGTTTTATTGACGATTAACAAATTAGACAAGAGTAGTTGTATGATATGTCAAAGAAGGGGAATTACAATAATGTTTAATGGTTCAGTAATCAATAACGGGCATTTAATAATATATCAATGCTGAACGATGAAATGAGAAGAAAATCATTCTATGTTACCAAATCTCTAAAAACCAATGAAGTGGGTGAGGACCCAAAACATCTGCATGCAAACACACCTCACATTTCTTTTTAGCCAGAAAAGTATCAGCAGTTGTCCTGTTTCTTCTCGGATAGTCTGTACGACAAACCAAGAGACAGCATTTCCCTGTTTCTTTTACGTGGTCCCTGCTAAAAATGGGGACTGAGACATCTGGATTGGTAACAAGTTTCCAAATAAGACAGATGCTAATTTGGGAGGCCAGGGACTCGCATGATTGGTTTTGAGTCTAGGTGGGCACAGTGATACTGCGGGCTAGAAGTGCCAGCAGAGCTAGCTCCACAACCCCATGGGCTTGTTCCAGTGCCTCTGCAGCCTCCCTGGCAGAAAAGCCTGCTGCCTGGATTCTCTGGATGTGCTCGGCTGGAAACTGTTCTATAAAGGGATGTAGAGGAGGGAGAGGAGAGGCTGGAGATGAAGGCTGGGGAGTCTGAGCCAGAGGAGGAACTGATGAGGACAAGTTGCTTGAAACTTCCTCCGGTGAGCCCGCTGCCATTGACATAGGGCTGAGGAAAGTGTGCTCAGTTTGGAGGCCTAGGTTGTCTGGGGTATTGGTGCCAGAGGCTTGTCCATCTGCGACCCCTCTCCCATGCTGCCCCTCAGGAGGCTCCCTGAACTCCAGATCCTCAGGGGGATCAAGTGGAACCTCTGGCTCAGACTGAGAAAAGCTGATGTTACTCGCCTCATCTTGCCCACATCTGTCTGCCCTCCTCTCCTCATAGCTATGTGGACACTCTAGTGGTCCTTGTCCAATCACAGCCTCTACTGTATCACCGCCCAGATGTTCATTCTGGCCAGAGTGGTGGGGCGCAAGACACTTAGATGGTTCCCCATCAGACACAGCAGCAGCATAGTTGGCTTTGGCATCGCTTGGTTCTGCACCGGGTGTAATGGCAGTAGAGGGGGTAAGCTGGGTATTTTCGGGGATTGAGGTGCACGGTTCGGGGGACATGTTGTCTGTGTCCTGCCTGAATGGATTTGAAGGAGAGCAGGAGGTGCTGCGATTTTGTGACTGAGCACAGTTGTTGGATACCAGCAGCTCATGAAGCTCCCTAAGGGCAGATGCCAACGAGGGGATGCTTTCAGAGCTGGAGCAGTGCTCTCCATCAGGCTGATCCCTCTCAGAGCACACCACACTGTCAGAAGCAGTGGGAGACTCCATTTCAATTGAGTCAGGTTCCCTGGGAGCACCTGGACCGACTTCCGTTGTAACAGCAGTATCACACTCTGTCACCTCCTGCTCCATGGGCTGAATGGGGGAAAGTTCCTCTGCATGGGGAAGCATGGAGCTGTTCTCCACCTCATCTGATTCAGCATCCCCCTTTATGGCTCCAGGTTGTAGTTCTCCCCCTGGATCCTGGGATACGTAGTTCATGTCTGCAGGAGGGGTACACGAACGCACAACATCTGTTGAGGGACTGCTTAGAGGGGGCACCACGGAGTTGCTATGGAGAGGCAAAGGGTCAGGGTGGATATGGTGAGGTATAGAAGCTCCATCCTCTGCTGGGGATGAAGGCTGAGGAAGCTCCTGGAAGCCAGGTTGATCCTGGCACTGCCCTGGTGCTAAGGACTGCTGCATGGCGGCAGGGGCAGACTGAGAGCGATCCAGGGTTGGGTTCTGGGGTTGATCAGAGGAGAGGCTTTGGGAAGGGGAGGTGGCTGACGACGTTTGGCCTAAGGTTTTGGGTAATGAAAATGGTTGGGGCTGCGGTGAGGTAGCTTGTCCATCTGCAGTGTCTATCACAAGAGAAAATATGCCTAGGAATTAAACTGTGAACTCCAGTGTGGGACAGTAACTATGTCAATTTAATAGCTTTAGATCCAAACACAAATACATATTCTCTTGCCCAAATTCTTCAATGCATTCTATACTAACATACTTTATTCATTAATATTAATTATAATGAATTTCCTATTCTAATTCAATCAAATATAAATAATCACAATAAAATGCATCAGTAAATAACAACAAAGGTACAACACTGATTACCTGACCCAGCAGCAAAATAACAGCAAAATAAAAGAAACAAATAGCAATGGACTTAGCACTGGCAATGGACTTGTGAATTTTGCAGTACCTGGTTGGTAGGGCCCTCTCCAGCTGTCTCCAAATGCATCAGTGCTGTCCTGCTCAGGGGTTAGGGCACACACCACACACATCATGCAAAGGGACGGAGAAAGTTAGCAGTCACACACAGGGCATGCACCAAACTATCGGCCTTTTCACACACACAGATGTGAAAAGTGTCATCCAAAAATAAATAAATAAATTAAAAAATTCTCGGGTCTAGGTCCTGACAAAGAGGTTGCAGTGTACATCCCCATCACTAAACGTCAGGGGAGCTCAATTCAAAGGGTTGTTCAGCAGTTAAAACTGTGGGCTGATTAAACTGTCTCTCCTGACTCGAGTCCATTAACAACCTCCAGTCATTGCTGGGCATCACTGGAAACAACAACAAAGACTTAATGGGGCTCTTGCACAAATAATAATGTGAGTATTAAAGGGAAACTGAAGAGTCCTGTATGGGTGGAAAAGCACCACTTTCCACTGACAGTGTATCTGTGTTGGTAACTTTTATAAAGTAGGAGTTAGCGATGTCAAAAAATGACATAATTCCAATAAATTAAACTCTTATATTTCAATATTTTCTTTAAAAAAACCTGTTTATACATTAGAAAAGTTGCCGGACAAGAAATGTTGTCATGTAATAATCCACTAACTTAAAACACTCACAACACCCTAAAGGAGAAACTTCACTATAGTGATGCCAAAGTATTTATTTGGTGCTGGAATAGCTAATGATGAACAGTTTAACCCTTTATCACACAACTATCAGACATGTCGCCTGGACTACTGTGAAATCATAAAACAATTCTCATCTTTCAGGAACCATTTAAATTTTCTCTCTAGCTCAACACAGTTAAGGAGTTACCGTATTGTAATGTCTTCATCTAGATAGAGCAGATTTTTCTCTCTGTGTTCAGACAGACCTACCTTGTGAATGCTTTGTGCTACTGTGATACACCAAATCAATCTTTAAAGCTCATATTCTCTTCTTTCCAAAACCCTTTGAATTTTATGTCTAACTCAAACAGTAAGAGAATTATGGTAATTTAAAAGAATGCTTGTAAAACGAGTCTGTGGCTAGACCGACGGCAAAAATAAAACGTTTGAAGCATTAAAGTGGTTGAAAAACTCACACTGTCCACAAAGTGAGACGGCAGGGGACCGACAAGCTGCCATTAACCATAACTGATGTTTCCCATGCTAACATTTTGTCATAGTGAAGTTAAGTAACTGCACAAATACAATGGGAGCGATTGCTTTTATTATTAGTTTTGTCAACACTGCAGACATTTTAAGCATTTTTCTTATATATATATATATATAAAATAGATTTTATTTCACAATTAGAGGACACTTTTTAAAACTTTTAGTTAGATACAGATGTTGTCGGAGATTTTAAACAATAACGAGACGATAAGGCAACATTTAATCCTGTTTATGAATCTATTATTTCCTGGCCTGCCATAGATTCTGGTTCATATAAATCCCCACCCACGTTTCTGTTGGCACAACATGTTTTTTTCC